AATTTTTTTTTTTTTTTTTTGCCAGTTTCTATCACTGAAGTAATGCCTGTATCTCACTGATTTTGGAAGCTACTCAAAGTGGAAGAAGAACAGGGTTTGAAGTCAGGCTTGTCCTGTGTCTTCCTGGTACTGGGGCCTGAGGGGGTGGGGAGGCAGTGCATAGGCCTTGGACAAGTCACTTGACCTCATTAAACCTTAGATTCTTCACCTGAGAGAAAGGGGGGTAACGGCGAGTACCTTCTCTTTTGCACAGTTGTAAGATATTAGAGAAATTAGACATAATGCACTTAAAATAGCTTTCATGGTTGGTCCTCAAGAAATTCCTAGCAGCAAACCAGGAGCCTGTGACCTGTGACATGAATATGTTTGCAAATATTTTATTTGACCTTCACAGTGTCTTTAGTATACACACACACTAACACGTGAGATGGATCCAGAAAGGCAGGCAGAGCATAGGCTCCTTGTCCAGGTTTCACTGACTCCATCACTGTCTCCTATTCCGCACTTGGCCCTTCATACATTTACCCTGCCTGCCTGGCTCTGAAAGCACTGGTGCTTGCAATCTCCCTTCAAAGGTGAATGATGGTAGATATTCCTTTCTCATGAAACTCTTCTAAAGTACAACTACATAGAAATTACAGACCTGATAAGAATAGTTATATTTTAAAAGAATCCATGGAAAGGTAGAATACTTTACCCATTAGTAGAAGGGATTACCAATAAAAGAACATCTGGCCCTAGCTGGCTTCACTTAGTGGTTAGAGTGTCAGCCTGCTGAGTCTCAGCTTCAATTCTGGTCAAGGGCATGTACCTGGGTTGCAGGCTCTATACTAGGCCCTGGTCAGGGTACGTGCAGGAGGCAACCAATGGATGTGTCACTCTCACTTCAATGTTTCTTTCTCTCTCTCTCCTTCTCTCTCTCTCTCTCTCTCTGAAAAGCAATGGAAAAAATATCTTCCAGGAAAAAAAAGAACACCTGGAACCAGGTAGTAGAAATTTTTTGTCACCTACATCCAAAGACTATTAGAATCAAGAAATTATTTTTACATTGGCAATAATAAAGGGGAGCTGGAGATATTTGACTCTACCTGTGACACTGGATTAAATAAGCATAAATAAAATAGATGAGTATTAAATGTAAGAAGAAATAGCTAAATCTCTAGGACTAAGAGAATAAAGAAATACAGAACGAGCAAAAACACAAGAAATCGCCTTGGTGGTTTACTAGCCACAAATCTCAGGATTCCTCAACAGTGATATAGAAGAGAGGTTAAATTCATTTACTTTATAAATCCTCTGAGTTTGGGGTGTGAGGAGGAGTGCAGATAAGAGGCATTTCTGTAGACTGTTAATTCGTATAAAAGTTTACGACTGAATCAAAGGCGGTGAGAAAATGAGAGAGATACCAAGGACAGCTCCAAGGTTTTTTTGGTCCGAGCAACAATACTGGGGCTGCCATTGATTGAGATGTGCGACACTCGAGTAAGTCTGGCTTCCTGGGGGAATATCAGGAAAACAACATTGACCAATCTAATTTGTGATACCCATTGGAAATTTAGACACAGGCTTCTGGAAATCAGGAGAGAGGATAAGCTGGAGATATAAATTGGGAGTCATAAGTCAGTGGGTGGTTTTGGAGCCATGAGACTGCATGAACTAGGGAGTAAAGGTAGATTGAGAAAGGAAGGCGCTGCAAGAGGCGCACTCCAAGGCTGGGGACGAAGTTGCGCTCGTAAAGGAGGCTGACGTGGGAGTCGCAAGCTGGAGGAAAATCGGGAGAGTGAGTGTGCTATTAGCCAAGTGAAAAGGTGCTCCAGGGAGTGAGAACCGGGTCCAGTGCTTCAAAGAACAAGAAGGGGTCCTTAGATTCAGCAACATGGAGGCCAATGGCCACTTGGATAAGAACAGTTTTGATGGGACAGTGAAGAAAAGGTATGATAAAATGGGCGCAAGGGAAAATGGGAAGAAAAGAACTGGTTACAGAGAGTAGGATAAACTACAATAACAACTAGTTAATAGAAGATATTAAAAGCCTAAAAATATATGATGTAAATGAATAAGTAAAAATGGAAACAGGAAGTCACAAAATAAAATTTCCATAAATATTTCGATAATTTTCTTTTTAATTGAATAGAGTGAGAAAGTGAAAATTCTAAACTTTTCATCTTAGCTGGTAAGATAATTTGGCAATGTTACAAATAAATGATCTTATTGCATCTTTTGTAGTAACTTTCCAGAACTCTCTTTTTAAAATAGATATCATGATATAAGTCTAGCAAGAACTGAATATATAGAAAAAGGAAGATTTCCACATTCAAACATACATTCACATTCACTGACACAAAATCAAAATGAGAGGGGAAATTTTTAAATAATGTCTTTGAGTAGTCCCATATCGAAGAGCATAGCAATTCATTACACATACTCACATCTAGGGTTATTTAAAATGAACAGCTCAAAACATGTAAAAAAAAAATCTTTAACAACTTTAAAAACTTTCTATTACATCTGAGACTTGATGTCAAAATTTCTTTCCGTGCATAGTTAAAGGAATGATGAAGTAAACAGTATTTGCCTTAGTGAACAACTTCCATAGCTAACATAACGCATCCCAAATTCTGGTCTTTTGAGATGTGGAGAGTATTGGCACTAGGGGAAATTACTGAAAAAGCATCTCAGGGATAGCATTCGGGAAGTAAAGGCTGAGAGTATTATTAATCACTTACCTCCCGGATGTCCCTTTGATACTTCGTGTTCATTTCTTCTGTTTTAATGAGATCCTTTCTTGCTGTCTCTGCTTCTTGTTCCACCTCTCCCACTCGGGAAGAAAGCGCTGATAAGCGCTCTTTCATTTGGGCCATTTCGTAGTTTTGCTTTTCAAGCAGTTCTTGTAGTTCAACTATTTGACTAGTTTCATCAGTTGAGTCTATAGAACCATTGGATAAACGCTGCAGGAAGAGAGAAAGACACAGCACTTAGGGTTTTCTCATCTTTCATTTAAAATTCACAAACTTAAAGAAATGAAACTGATATGACTTTCACACTGAGAAATAAGAACTCTAGGAGAGTTAATTTAAGAGGAAAAGAAGTTTCTGAGAAAAACTCTTAACTGACAAGAGAAATAAAAGTAGACCAGTAATTTTTAAACAGGTTAACAATGACATTTGAACTGAAATTTATTATATATTTATTATACGTAGCTTAACACAAAACACTGGCATATCCTAAACATTTAATCAGTGGGAGCTATTATGTTATCAATTATATATAAAATTTATTATAAATAATATTACATTTATGTAACACAGTATATTATTATTAAATAATAAGGGCATAGAAACTCTGCAATATTTTCTATTTTTATTCAAGCTCCTGTATGCATCTGCAAGTTTTATTTTCAATGACACTCAGATAAAGAACTGCTGCACCATTTTAAAGAAGGCTGCTCCTGCTGTGGATGTGACCTAGCTGGAACAGAGCTACAGCCTAGAAAAGTCTGGATCTCTATATTGCTATCAACATAGGAGTCATGAGTGCCCACAACCCACAGGAAGGAGGCTGAAGGGAATTAAGTTCCCTGAAACTGACGTTTCCCCCTTCTGAAGGGGCCGCCAACAGTCAGGGTGACCCATGTCCTCGAAAGCGAGCCCTACAGCCTCGCTGCCTTGAAGAAGTTTTGTGGCAAAGATGGTGCAGCAACTGGAGAGAAATATGTGCTAAGAGAAAAAGAGCACAACCAAGTTAAAATAACAAAATGAGAGAGAGAAAAGTACAATCAATTCTGTTATAATGCTTCTTTGGAAAACATGAATTTGTTCCAAAACAATAGCTATATCAAGAAACAATTTGACATACATAAATGTTGTGTTCTCTTATGCGCTGTTTCATTTCGGGGAATCACTGACTAAATACAGAAAACTGCACCTTCCTGAACCAAGCCAAGTGGGAACATACAAAATGCACACATGCACATTCCTCAAGCATCTCATACTGAGCCCAATTCACAGTGTGCTTAGAGACAAACCATCCACATCTGTGTTATAAGTTTCTGTCTGATTTCAGACACGCCTCCTTCCACCATCTCACATTAACTCACAGCTATAACCTTTCTGACACCCATTCCATAGGCAAACGTCAGGTCTTTTTCAGGTAAAGAGTTCTACTTATTATAGTATTTATGTCATTCTTGACCATGTAACATATGTAAAACTGTGCTACCATTTTTAATAGTTTCATATCTCTTTTTATGTCATCTTTAAAGTTTTCAGAGTGTGCTGCAAACCCCTTTTCCTGCCCTTCTTTTAAAAATTTTCTTTATCTTTATTGTTGAAAATATTACAGATGTCCCATTTACCCTTATTGACACCTCCACCCCACCTCCATCTCACCCCCAGGCCTTCCCCAGACCAGTGTCTGTGTCCATGGGTTATGCTTATAAACATATAAGTTCTTTGATTAATCTCTCCCATCCCCTCCCTCCTCCCCACCTTCCTTCTGAGATCCCTCAGTCTGTTCCACGCTTCTTTGTCTCTGGATCCATTTTGTTCATCAGTTTATTTTGTTTATTATACTCCACATATAAGTGAGATCATGTGGTACTTGTCTTTCTCTGACTGGCTTATTTCACTTAGAGGCCTGTGTTTTTTTATTGTACAATTTTGTATAGCTCATGATTTTTAGGAATGAGTAAAGGGTACACAGGATGGCTCTATATTATTTCTTTCAACCATGTGTGAATCTACATTATCTTAAAATAAAAAGCTTAATTAAAAAAAAAAAGTTATGACCCTGGCCAGTAGCTCAGTTGGTAGAGTGTTATCTTGATATATCAAGGTTGTGGGTTCACTCCCTGGTCAGGTCACATACAAGAATCAACTAATGAATGCATAAATAAGTGGAACAACAAATCTATAAATTTTTGATCTCTCTCTCTCTCCCTCCCTCTTCCTCTCTCTCTCAAAGCAATTAAAAACATTTTTTAAAATGTAGAGTAACTGACTGTAGGAGAAAAGGAGCAGAGCAGAAAGCATCATAAAAGCAATGAGAAGATGGGCAGAAAATGATTGAGTCAGATAGGATATATCTAAGAATGTCAGGCAGCTCTACAGACCTAGTACTTTGAAGGTATTGCTGAACTTTTGTATTGCGGGCACTGAACTTCTAAATATCTAGTAAAATGATAACAGATACTACAACTGCGCAGGGATGTTGGAAGGACGCTGCAGTAGGCTGACAGGATTTTCCTTCTCTCCTTCCTGCTGAGATTGTCGCTAGCTGAGGGATCACAGCTGAGAATGTCCCCCAGGAACTGCTGTCAGGGGAAGGGAACCGCCTTTCCAAAGTTATGGCCCTGCCCTGGGGGCACGTAATACTGCATACAATGTAGCACTGTATTATTGTGAAGCTAATGAAAAACAAACTTTTTAGACAGCTTTTATGGACACAAAACTCAAAAACAATGATAGTGACCTTTATGCAGGTCACAACCCAACTGTACATTGAACTGAGAAGAGCCAGTTTCTAATCATTAGGGAACAATTGAGAGCTGGTTCAGGGAAGAAAGAGAAAGCCAATTTCTAGTCAGTTGTGTCCAAATTTGGGATAACTAAGGTATACTATTAAGGGTTCATGTCATAATAGCAGGTATCTTCTAACTCTGGACACTACTTACAAGCAACCAGGCGAGCTGAAACTTTACTAGAACTCCTACCTCCTCACCTCCTCACATTGAGAACTTTCTGCCGTCAACTAAAATAAAAGGAATTTTTAGAAACTAAAAAAATTACTAGAAAACAAATTTTTACTTTGAAAAATGTTTTACATAATTGAAAATTTTCATTTAGGGTTTTAGTGCCCTAAAAAACTGGAGAAACTGAGGCACAGGTGATCACTTGGAGCTGATCTGAATTAAAATTCAGAACTTTGAATTCCCAATTTAGTTCATCTACCCTTTACCATATTGGCTGTAATCAGAACATATAAATCAACATGACAGTCATACATGCTGTGTGGTATAGACAAGTACCAAGAATATAGTGTGTATGTGTGTGTGCATTTGTGTGAATTACATATATAAGTATACACATACATATATGCATATTCAACAAGTATTTTTTTAGTGCAACTGAATGATGTTAATTTTCTAATTAGAAAAATGATTTTTCTAATTCTGTGCAGCTGAAGTCCATTAAAATCTTGTTTAAAAATGGCATATTTTTAATGGGTTCAAGGTAAGAAAAATTTTAACCAAACATAAACAGCAATCAGGCAACTAAAATAAAACACCTTTAAAATGTTAACCTCCTTAATTCCTTTAAGGAAAAGATGTGTACTGCATAGTTTTTACACTACTTTGGAATTTGGGACTAATTCATGGGAAAATTTTCAAACTCAATTTTTTTTCTTAACTGTTTATGAATCTTTTATATTTAAAAAATGTGTACTATTTCATCTGTTCAAATCACCTTAAATACATTTTATAGTGAGCTTAATATGTTTTCATTATTTCAGGGTAGGAAGAACACATAAAAACCGATTTTTATCTTAGAATAGGAATATATAACTTTACTCTTATTATTATTTTAATCTTTACCTGAGGATATGTTCTAATTGACAAGAGAGAGAGAGAAACATCAATGTATGAGAGAAGCATGGACTGGTTGCTTCCCTTAGGTGCCCCAACTGGGCATCAAACATGCAACCTAAGTATGTGCCCTGACCAGGAATTGAACCCACAACCTTTCGGTGCATAGGACAATGCTCCAACCAACTGAACTGCACTGGCCAGGGCGGGAATATGTAACTTTTGTTCCAGATCATTGGTATGTAGAATTAACTTTAAAATAAATTGTGACACTTTAACCTAAATGGCAAATGACTTAATTAGAGGAAAACTCAGTGCTTATTTAAAATAGCTTTATTGAGATATAATTTATAAAGCATAAAATTTGTTCATTTAAAGTATAAATGTCAATGGTGTTTAGTATATTTAGAGAATTGTGCAACTATCAGAGCAACAATTTGAGAACATTTTCATCACTTCTATAGAAACATCATATCCATTAGCAGCCACTTAAAGCTGACCCCACCCCTGCTCCACTAATCTACTTTCTATCACAATAGATTTGTCTATTTGGTACCTTTCACATAAATGGAATCACAGAATAGTCTTTTGTGACTAACTTTATTCACTGAACATAATGTTTTTTGAGATTCATCCATGTCGTAGCATGTGCACAATATTTATTTTATTGCAGAAGAATTGAATTGCATCATATGGATATACTACATGTTATTTATATATTAATCGGGTCATGGCTGTTTAGATTGCTTCCATCTTTTGGCCACTATGAATTATGCTGCTGTAAACATTTGTGTGTAAGGCTTTGTGTGGACATATGTTTTCAGTTCTCTTGGATAGATTTCTAGGAGTAGAATTGTTGGACTATATGGTGTTTCTAAATTTAACATTTTGAAGATCTGTTTCCCAAAGTGGTTGCACCATTGTACATTCTCACCAGCAGTGATGAGAGTTCCAATTTCTTACATTCTCATCAAAACTTGTTATTATCTGTCTTTTTATTACAGCCACTCTAGTGGGTATAAAGTGGTATTTCTTATGGGATTTTTTTTTTTTTTTTTGGCAAAGGTAGTTCAAATTTATTTATATATTTGTTTTAAAGAGTATAAAAATTTAATTCACTTCCTTAGGTCTGTATGCTGGATTAAGAAATTTGGGATTAAAATATAAAAAGATATTCAAGTTTTCCCAAACCTGATCTGAGAATTAACTGCTTAGAGAGACAAGCATACAGCCCCCATAGCTCTCACTAACCTGAAAGCATCAAATGATTCCTTCATTTTTTATCTTAATAAAATTGCTGTAATTATACTGCCATTAGAGAGAAAACCAATTAGAAAAATACTACAGCATTTCATTGGCAGTAGA